CGAGTTCGGCCCTTTTGATTTTCCGACTCCAACTCCTTGCACATTTCATTGTAATATTTTGCTTTGTTATCCCGTGCTGCCTTTTGAAATCTTCTATTCAACTCTTTAGTATCTTGAATTCTTCTCTGTGCTTTGACTCCTTATTATATGGCAGCAATTCAGTAGAATTTGTTTGTTGTTATTGTTAGGCATCATCAAGTCAACTTCAACTCATAACGACCTTATGTACAACAGATTGAAACTCTGTCCAATTTTGCATGATTCGCACAATCTCCTCTGTGCTTAAGCCCATTGTTGGAGTCATTGTGTCAATGTATCTCATTTAGTATCTTCTTCTCTTTCACTGACCCTCGATTTTTCCAAAAATGATGTCCTTTTCAAGGACTGCCTCCCCTTAACAACATGCCCAAACTGGAAGAAAACAGTCTTACTACCTTGTCTCTAAGGGACATGTTGGCTGTACTTCTTCCAAGATAAATTTTCTGGGAGACGGCATGTAATTATTTGAAAACAAAGAAGAAGAAACTGACTCCTCATTTCATCCCAGATGAGATGTGGGAAAGACATGTTTAAACAAAGCAAGTAGAAAAATATGAACTCATTTCAGGAAGAAATAAATAATGTTCTTTTTTCATCTGAGGTATAAATACAGAAAAGAAGAAAACCACCTCAAGAAAAGAAATCATTCTCAGAAAATTCACACACATCATTTCTGGAAAAAAGCCACGGGGATAAAAATTTCTCATATCCAATTAAAGAACCTAGTATTTTAACTAAAAATTCCTTCTCAGATAATTAAATAGAACAGGAACTTGGAACTACAGCAAAAATAAAATCCACTATGAGACTATACAAGATTGGTTACATAAGTATTAGTGCCTAAAGTTAATCAATAGTTATAATTATTCTCTCAAGACATAACTGGTTTTATTTAAAGGAGTACAAAAATAAAGAAGAACATTTAATTTCTCAATGAAAAAAATATTTTTCTCTAAAAATAATAAATATTGCTTGGTTCCATAACAATTAGAATATTCAACTATAAATTGTGAAATTTAAGAGTAGAAAGTCTTACCAAATTAACAAATAGTAAAAAGAGAATTGAACATACCACAAACTGCTAAGAGAACAATCAGGTCTGTCCTTAAGAGGGAGAAACCAGGCTGCTCCTTGGAGACAAGTATTTTGAAGCTCCGTCTGACCTAATTTGGACATGTTGCAAGGAAGGATCAGTCCTTGGAGAGGGACGTCATGCTTGGGAGGGAAAAGGAACAGTGCAGAAGAGAAAGACCCTGGATGAGATGGACTGACTCAGTAACTAGGGTAATAGGGGTACATGTGTTGGAAATCATGAAAATGACTCAAAATTGAGAATGGTTCAGAGCTGTTGTACATAAAGTTGCTATGAGTCACAAGAGATTTGACAGACGTAACAACAACAAATCCACAGACAAACTAGGAAATGTTGCAATACCTAAAAGAAATGATTGTCTAGAAGTTGGGACTGCCTGGGTTCTAGCTCTGGTATTCTTATTAATTATCTAGTCACCTCAGGCATTGTTATTCATTCACTTCTGTTTCAGACATGAATTTGGTGCTAGGAGAGAGAGCCCATCTGAGACTTCAAAGAGCTGTTTCCAATTAATTCTTTTTAACAAGGCAATAGGAGACAGAGGACGGGGCATGGTTGGAGTGTGTATACTACAAATAAAAAATTAAAAAAGTGAGGAATGTGGCCTTATGTCACATTTCTCAAGTAGCTGAAGCAGAAGAGGGTTGAGGGTCTACTTGGAGAAGCAGAAGTATAGACAACAATCACAAAAAAACACCTGGTAAGTGTTGCTAGGGTAATTGTGCACTGAAAACACACAGAACACATATAGACAGGGAAAAAAAACCCTAATTGCTGTAAGAGACCGATCATTGTTAGGACCATCTCCTCATTCTAATTCTTGCTTGTCTTTCAGCATATTTTATACTTTTCCCACACACAGAACACATATTATTGCTTGTTGGTGATAATTGCAAACAA